AGGACCTGTCATACTGTTGTTTTTATCAGAGCCATCCTCGTGGGCATGGCATGGCACTGCGGTATTTGGTGCCTACTGTCACCCCCTCATCTGCAACTGCCACTTTAAGCTCATGTCAGCAGCCAAACTTTTCTTCCCTCCCTGCTTTCCTTACCTATCCTCTGCTTCTAATGCTCTCAGTTTGTGGGTTCGTGTATTTTCCTCCTGCTGATGATGTTTCAAATCTGATACCTGCCCCTGGCATGTTTAGTCACCTTCCAAGCCCTGTTAAATCTTTTTTTGTTTGTTTTTTTGAGATGGAGTCTCCCTCTGTTGCCAGTTTAGAGTGCAGTGGCACGATCTCAGCTCATTTCACCTTCCGACTCCCTGGTTCAAATGATTCTCCTGCCTCAGCTGCTGGGATTATAGGGATGTGCCACCATGCCTGGCTAATTTTTGTATTTTTAGTAGAGATGGGGTTTTACCATGTTGGCCAGGATGGTCTTGATCTCTTGACCTCATGATCCACCCACCTTGGCCTCCCAAAGTGCTGGGATTACAGGCGTGAGCCACCGCGCCCAGCCCTATTAACTGTTGACAGAAACCATTCGTGTCTCTTCTCTCCTGTGTGCAGACTGTCATTTTTCCTCAGTGGCTGTGCTGTTTCACATTCCCGACGGCAGTGCTTCTGTTCTAAGTGGGGTAGATGGAAATATCTTTGCTCGTAGTTTGCTGGGTTTTTGGATAACAAACAGCTTCATAGTTTCTGATAATGCCTCTCATTGTTTTCTGTATTTCCAGGCTGCAGTGCAAAAGGCAATCCCAATGTACAAAATCGCCACCAAAAACGATGTTGATGTCCAAATTGACCAGGAGTCCTACCTGCCTGAGGACATGTAAGGAGTGTTCCAGCTACCTTCTGTCCCTGGGAGAGTGGCCTTGATACTGGGCCCTTTTTAAACGGTATTTTCACCAACACACTCTAGACAAAAGGCTAGAGCCACGGTGTGTTCCACTTGCAGCTGCTCCTGTTGTTCTGGTAGTGCTCTGTGTTCTGTGTTGCTCTCCCTTGCTAGCCAGCTACATGTACTCTAAAAGTCTAGTTTGTCTGGGCGCAGTGGCTCACGCCTGTAATCCCAACACTTTGGAAGACTGAGGTGGGTGGATCACCTGAGGTCAGGAGTTCAAGACCAACCTGGCCAACATGGTGAAACCTCTTCTCTACTCAACATACAAAAATTAGCGGGACATGGTGATGGGCGCCTATAATCCCAGCTACTCAGGAGACTGAGGCAGGAGAATCGCTTGAACTTGGCAGGTGGAGTTTGCAGTGAGCTGAGATTGCACCATTGCACTCCAGCTTGGGCAGCAAGAGTGAAACTCCGTCTCAGAAAAAAAAAAAAAAAAAAAAATTAGCTGGGTGTGGTGACACGTGCCTGTAATCCCAGCTACTCAGAAGGCTGAAGCAGGAGAATTGCTTGAATGCAGGAGGCAGAGGTTGCAGGCAGCGGAGATGGCACCACTGCACTCCAGCCTGGCAACAGAGCAAGACTCCCGTCTCAAAAAAAAAAGGGGGGGGGTCTAGTTTATGGTCACTGCATTCCTTCTGCAGGGAGGTGGCACCCAGGATGAAAGCTAGGACCAGATCTGTACTGGATGCTGAGGTAGATACTCCCCTTTTTTTTTTTTTTTTTTTTGAGGCGGAGTTTCGCTCTTATTGCCTAGGCTGGAGTGCAATGGCGCAGTCTCTGCTCATCGCAACCTCCACCTCCTGGGTTACACCTGTTCTCCTGTCTGGGCCTCCCAAGTCCATGCCCGGCTAATTTTGTATTTCTAGTAGAGATGGGGTTTCTCCATATTGGTCAGACTGGTCTTGAACTCCTGACCTCAGATGATCCACCTGCCTCGGCCTCCCAAAGTGCTGGGATTACAGGTGTGAGCCACTGCGCCCAGCCCTATACTCCCTCCTTCTAAGTAATAGCTATCAAATCAAGAATTGTGTGTGCCTAGTAATTGTGTTCCTTAAAGATAGAATTGAAAGTACGAGTGGTATTTTTACTGCTGTGAGGAAATGACAGAACATGTCTGGGATAGGCATCCCTAATGAGCTTCATGTGGTTGAGGTAGGCAGTGGAAGCTCCTGACAGGGAGAGCCAGGGTCATTTTCTGTATTTCACCAGCCTGTATGAGGCCAGCTAGCCACACCACTGACTAACGAAGAAAGTCCTTGGGACACATTTTGAACTTAGTTGATTATCAGACTTAGGACTGTAAGACCTAGATTTGAGTCCTATCTTGGCCTTTTGCCTGGACCTGGAGACTGAATTCATCATCTGTAAAATAGGATCAATGCTTTTCTCTTCTTTGTTTCATGCAGTGAAGAAAAGATGAGATAGTACATGTGAAAATGCTCTGTAAATGGAAAAGGTCTATAAACTCGTAAGATTTGCTGTCAGAGTTGGGTTCGTTTCCCCTTTGCTGTCAGAGTTGGGTTCGCTTCCCCGTTCTGCCACTTACTAGCTGGGTAACCTTGGACCCGTTATTCAGTTTCACTGAGTGCCGTAGTCCACTGAGTGTTGCTGTAACAGAATACCCAAGACTGGGTAATTCATGGAGAGGAGAGGTTTATTTGGCTCATGATTCTCATGGCTGGAAAGGTAAAGATAGGAACAGCTGCGTCTGGTGAGGACGTAGGGCTGCTTCCACTCGTGGCAGAAGGTAGAAAGGGAGTGGATGTGTGGTTAGAGACCATGTGGCAGGAGAGGGGGTGGGAGAGCCTAGGGAGCCAGACTCCCTATCATACCAGCCTACTCTCTGCTCACAGTCAAGTCCTCCTGTAGCTAGAATCTGGCCCTCGCCAGAATTCATTGCCTCGGGATCTGCCCCCAGCCGTGAACACGCCCAGCACTGCCACGTTGGGAATCGGGTTTCACCATGAGTTTCTGAGGAAACAGACTCATCCCGCAGCAGCGAGCCCTGATTGCTTCGTCTGCAAGTTGGCATAATAGCACCCACCTCATAGCTTTTTTTTTTTTTTTTTTTTTTTTAGTTAGGGTCTCTCTGTCACCCAGGCTGGAGTTCACTGGCATGATCTCGGCTCACTGCAGCCTCTGCCTCCTGGGTTCAAGTGATTGTCCTGCTTCAGCCTTCCAAGTAGTTGGAACTACAGGTGCAGCCCACCATGCCCAGCTAATTTTTGTATTTTTAATAGAGTTGGGGTTTTACCATGTTGGCCAGGCCGGTCTCAAACTTGTGACTGCCAGCATTCCACCTGCCTTGACCTCCCAAAGTGCTGGGATTATAGGTGTGAGCCATCATGCCTGGCCAGCAGTGGCATCTTTTTTTTTTTTTTGAGACGGAATTTCGCTCTTGTTACCCAGGCTGGAGTGCAATGGTGCTATCTCGGCTCACCGCAACCTCTGCCTCCTGGGTTCAGGCAATTCTCCTGCCTCAGCCTCCTGAGTAGCTGGGATTACAGGCACGTGCCACCGTGCCCAGCTAATTTTTTGTATTTTTAGTAGAGACGGTGTTTCACCATGTTGACCAGGATGGTCTCAACATCCTGGACCTTGTAATCCACCCGCCTCGGCCTCCCGAAGTGCTGGGATTACAGGCTTGAGCCACCGCGCCTGGCGAGCAGTGGCATCTTTTATCAGCCACACATGCAGTCATGATAGGACCTCATCGTATCCTCCTCACTGCTTATCAGTGATGAGCTGGATTAGGCTCAAGAAAACATTCAGATGAGGTCAAGCGCGGTGGCTCACACCTGTAATCCCAGCAATTTGGGAGGCCGAGGCAGATGGATTACAAGGTCAGGAGTTCGAGACCAGCCTGGCCAACATGGTGAAACCCTGTCTTTACTAAAAATTAAAAAATTAGCTGGATGCGTTGGCGGTTGCCTATTATCCCAGCCACTTGGGAGGCTGAGGCAGGAGATTCGCTTGAACCTGGGAGGTGAAGAGGTTGCAGTGAGCCAAGATCATGTCACTACACTCCAGCCTAGGTGACAGAGGAAGACTTTGTCTCAAAAAAAAATTCAGATGAGGACTCTGAGTGATTTGTAAACTTGAGATGAAATCCTCCCTTTTTCATTTTGTTGGAGAGGGCTGGCTATGAGAAGTTAAACAGGTTCTATAACATAAAATGAAATAGACACAGGCCGCCTGGAGTGGCTCACGCCTGTAATCCCAGCAGTTTGAGAGGCCAAGGTGGGCAGATCACCTGAGATCAGGAGTTTGACACCAGCCTGGCCAACATGGTGAAATCCTGTCTCTACAAAAATGCAAAAACTAGCTGGGCATGACGGCAGGTGCCTGCAATCCCACAGGAGCATCACTTGAACTCTGGAGGCGGAGGTTGTAGTGAGCCAGGATGGCATCATTGCACTCCCCTTCCTGGGCAACAGCATGAGACTCCATCTCAAAAAAAAAAAAAACAAATTGACACATAATGTCACTTGGTAAATGACAGTTACTGACACCAATATAGTCAGTTCTCTGTATCTTTGGGGTCCACACTTGTGGATTTAACCAACTTTTTGTTTTGACTCCCTAAACACTACAGTATGACAACCATTTCCATTGTATTCGCTATGGTAAGAGCTGTAGACTCCGTTTACAATATAGGGGAGGATGTGTGATGGTCGTATGCAAATACTACACAGTTGCATATAATGGAATTGAACATCTGGATGGGGACAGGGTGTCCTGAAAGCTCTTTGGAGGCTTTTCCGGTTCCTTTCAAGCCTGGTGCTTAGGTGCCCACGCAGTCCACACACCAAGATGGGGGCATTCCTCTGCGGGAGTAAAGGGTACCATGTGTGTGTCTCAAATCTTTCAAAGTGATTATTTCCTGTGCTGTTTCTGCAGAGCTGGTGGAGTTGAGATCTATAATGGGGATCGTAAAATAAAGGTTTCCAACACCCTGGAGAGCCGGCTGGACCTCATAGCCCAGCAGGTGAGTGTGGGGTACTTCTTGGGAGTTGGTCTGCTACTTTGAAGAAGGACAGAACACGTCTGTTCGCTGGTATTTGGGGTTTATTACTGTCTTTCCACATTTTTGGACATTTTCTCAAAAAGAATGAGAATTGGGCATGATGTAGCATTTGCTAAGGTGGTAACGTTTACATGAGGGCAAATTTGGGGTCAGAGTAAGGGTTTTGTTGACCTAGGATTCAGATGTGTACATTTTACTACATATAAGGTGCCGACAAGTTCTTTATCTAATATGAATGATGGGAACTAAAGGAAATAATTGTTTTTTTTTTGTTTCATTTTTTTGAGACAGAGTTTCGTTCCTTTTTTGTTGTTGTATCTTAGGTTTTGGGGTACATGTGAAGAACATGCAAGATTGTTGCATAGGTACATACATAGCAGTGTGATTTGCTGCCTTCCTCCCCATCACCTATATCTGGCATTTCTCGCCATGCTGTCTCTCCCCAGCTCCCCACCCCCCGCTGTCCCTCCCCTATTTCCCCCCGATAGACCCCAGTGTGTGATGCTCCCCTCCTTGTGTCCATGTGTTCTCGTTGTTCAACACTCGCCTATGAGTGAAAACATGTGGTGTTTGATTTTCTGTTCTTGTGTCAGTTTGCTGAGAATGATGGTTTCCAGTTTCATCATGTCCCTACAAAGGACACAAATCCATCGTTTTTTATGGCTGCGTAGTATTCCATAGTGTATATATGCCACATTTTCCCTGTCCAGTCTATCATCGATGGGCATTTATGTTGGTCCAGGTCTGCTATTATAAACAGTGCAATGAACATTCGTGTGCATGTGTCCTTATAGTAGAACGATTTATAATCCTTTGGATATATACCCAGTAATGGGATTGCTGGGTCAAATGGAATTTCTATTTCTAGGTCCTTGAGGAATCGCCACATTGTCTTCCACAATGGTTGAACTAATTTACACTCCCACCAGCAGTGTAAAAGTGTTCCTATTTCTCCACATCCTCTCCAGCATCTGTTGTCTCCAGATTTTTTAATGATCGCCATTCTAACTGGCGTGAGATGGTATCTCAATGTAGTTTTGATTTGCATTTCTCTAATGACCAGTGATGATGAGAATTTTTTCATATGTTTGTTGGCCTCATGTATGTCTTCTTTTGTAAAGTGTCTGTTGATATCTTTCGCCCACTTTTGAATGGGCTTGTTTGTTGTTTTTCTTGTAAATCTGTTTTAGTTCTTTGTAGATTCTGGATATCAGCCCTTTGTCAGATGGGTAGATTGCAAAAATTTTTCCCATTCTGTTGGTTGCCAATTGACTCTTAATGACTGTTTCTTTTGCTCTGCAGAAGCTGTGGAGTTTGATTAGGTCCCATTTGTCTATTTTGGCTTTTGCTGCCAATGCTTTTGGTGTTTTGGTCATGAAGTCCTTGCCTACTCCTATGTCCTGAACAGTTTTGCCTAGATTTTCTTCTAGGGTTTTTATGGTTAGGTCTTATATTTAAGTCTTTAATCCATCTGGAGTTAATTTTAGTGTAAGGTGTCAGGAAGGGGTCCTGTTTCTGCCTTCTGCACATGGCTAGCCAGCTTTCCTGACACCATTTATTAAACAGGGAATGCTTTCCCATTGCTTGTTTTTGTGAGGTTTGTCAAAGATCAGATGGTTGTAGATGTGTGGCATTGCCTCCGAGGCCTCTGTTCTGTTCCATTGGTCTATATCTGTTTTGGTACCAGTACCGTGCTGTTTTTTTTGTTTTTTTTGAGACGGAGTTTCGTTCTTGTTAACCCAGGCTGGAGTGCAATGGCGCAATCTCAGCTCACTGCAACCTCCGCCTCCTGGGCTCAGGCAATTCTCCTGCCTCAGCCTCCTGAGCAGATGGGATTACAGGCACGTGCCACCATGCCCAGCTAATTTTTGTATTTTTAGTAGAGACAGGGTTTCACCATGTTGACCAGGATGGTCTCGATCTTTTGACCTCATGATCCACCCATCTCGGCCTCCCAAAGTGCTGGGATTACAGGTTTGAGCCACCTCGCCCGGCCCCTGCTGTTTTGATTACTGTAGCCTTGTAGTATAGTTTGAAGTCCGATAGTGCAATGCCTCCAGCTTTGTTCTTTTTGCTTAGAATTGATTTGGCTGTGTGGGCTCTCTTTTGGTTCCGTATGAAGATTAAGGTGTTTTTTTCCAGTTCTGTGAAGAAGGTCATTGGTAGCTTGATGGGGATAGCGTTGAATCTGTAAATTACTTTGGGCAGTGTGGTCATTTTCATGATCTTGATTCTTCCTAATCATGAGCATGGAATGTTTCTCCATCTGTTTGTGTCCTCTCTTATTTCGTTGAGAAGTGGTTTGTGGTTCTCCTTGAAGAGGTCCCTTACGTTCCTTGTCAGTTGTATTCCTAGGTATTTTATTCTCTTTGTAGCAATTGTGAATGGCAGTTTGTTCTTGATTTGGCTCTCTTTAAGTCTGTTATTGGTGTAGAGGAATGCTTGTGATTTTTGCACATTGATTTTGTATCCTGAGACTTTGCTGAAGTTGCTTATCAGTTTCAGGAGATTTTCTGTGAGACAATGGGGTCTTCTAAATATACAATCATGTTGTCTGCAAATAGTGACAACTTGACTTCCACCTTTCCTAATTGAATACCCTTTATTTCTTTTTCTTGTCTGATTGCTCTGGCTAGAACTTCCAGAACTATATTGAATAGGAGTGGTGACAGAGGGCATCCTTGTCTAGTGCCAGATTTCAAAGGGAATGCTTCCAGTTTTTGCCCATTCAGTATGATATTGCCTGTTGGTTTGTTGTAAATAGCTTTTATTATTTTGAGATATGTTCCATCGATACCGAGTTTATTGAGGGTTTTTAGCATAAAGGGCTATTGAATTTTGTCAAAGGCCTTCTCTGCGTCAAATGAGATAATCATGTGGTTTTTGTTTTTTGTTCGGTTTATGTGGTGAATTATGTTTATAGACTTGTGTATGTTGAACCAGCTTTGCATCCCCGGGATGAATCCTACTTGATCATGGTGGATAAGTTTTTTGATTTGCTCTTGCAATTGGTTTGCCAATATTTTATTGAAGATTTTTGCGTCTATGTTCATCATGGATATTGGCCTGAAGTTTTCTTTTCTTGTTGAGTCTCTGCCTCAACAAGGTTTTGGGATCAGGATGATGTTAGTATCATAAAATGATTTGGGAAGGATTCCCTGTCTTTGTATTGTTTGGAATACTTTCAGGAGTGGTACCAGCTCCTCTTTGTATGTCTGGTAGAATTCAGCTGTGAACCCATCTGGGCCTGGGCTTTTTTTGTGTAGTAGGCTCTTAATTGCTGCCTCAACTTCAGCCCTTGTTATTGGTCTATTCTGGGTTTGGACTTCTTCCTGGTTTAGGCTTGGGAGGGTGCAAGTGTCCAGGAATTTATCCATTTCTTCCAGGTTTACTGGTTTATGTGCATAGAGTTGTTTGTAATAATCTCTGATGATGGTTTGTATTTCTGTGGAATCTGTGGTGATTTCCCCTTTATCGTTTTTTCTTACATTTATTTGATTCTTCTCTCTTTTCTTTTTTATTAATCTGGCTAGTGGTCTATTTTGTTGATCTTTTTGAAAAACCAGCTCCTGGATTTATTGATTTTTTGAAAGGTTTTTTATGTCTCTATCTCCTTCAGTTCTGCTCTGATCTTAGTTATTTCTTGTCTTCTGCTAGGTTTTGAGTTTTTTTGATCTTGCTTCTCTAACTCTTTCAATTTTGATGATAGGGTGTCAATTTTAGATCTCTCCTTGCTTCTCATGTGGGCATTTATTGCTATAAATTTTCCTCTAGACACTGCTTTAAATGTGTCCCAGAGATTCTGGTATGTTGTGTCTTCGTTCTCATTGGTTTTGAAGAACATCTTTATTTCTGCCTTCATTTCATTATTTATCCAGTCAACATTCAAGAGCCAGTTGTTCAGTTTCCATGAAGCTGTGTGGTTCTGGTAGTTTCTGATTTCTGAGTTCTAATTTGATTGCACTGTGGTCTGAGAGATTGTTTGTTATGATTTCAGTTGTTTTGCATTTGCTGAGGAGTGACTTACTTCCAATTATGTGGTCAGTTTTAGAGTAGGTGTGATGTGGTGCTGAGAAGAAGGTATATTCTGTGGATTTGGGGTGGAGAGTTCCATAAATGTCTATCAGGTTTGCTTGTTCCAGGTCTGAGTTCAAGTCCTGGATATCCTTGTTGATTTTCTGTCTCGTTAATCTGTCTAATATTGACAATGGGGTGTTAAAGTCTCCCAGTATTATTGTGTGGGAGTCTAAGTCTCTTTGTAAGTCATTAAGAACTTGCCTTATATATCTGGCTGCTCCTGTATTGGGTGCATATATATATTTAGGATCCTTAGCTCTCTTGTTGCATTGATCCTTTTACCATTATGTAATGTCCTTCTTTGTCTCTTTTGATCTTTGTTGGTTTAAAGTCTATTTTATCAGAGACGGGAATTGCAACTCCTGCTTTTTTTTGCTCTCCATTTGCTTGGTAAATCTTCCTCCATCCCTTTATTCTGAGCCTTTGTGTATCTTTGCATGTGAGATGGGTTTCCTGGATACAGCACACCGATGGGTTTTGGCTTTTTATCCGATTTGCCAGTCTGTGTCTTTTGATTGGGGCATTTAGCCCATTTACATTTAGGGTTAATATTAGGGTTAGGGTTTTTTTGTTTTTTTTTTTTTTTGAGATGGAGTTTAGCTCTTGTTACCCAGGCTGGAGTGCAATGGCGCGATCTCAGCTCACCGCAGCCTCCGCCCCCTGCAGGCAATTCTCCTGCCTCAGCCTCCTGAGTAGCTGGGATTACAGGCACACGCCACCATGCCCAGCTAATTTTTTGTAATTTTTAGTAGAGACAGGGTTTCACCATGTTGACCAGGATGGTCTCGTTCTGCCGAGCTCGTGATCCACCTGCCTCAGCCTCCCAAAGTGCTGGGATTACAGGCGTGAGCCATCGCGCCCGGCCTAGGGTTAATATTGTTACGTGTGAATTTGATCCTGCCGTTTTGAGACTAGCTGGCTGTTTTGCCCGTTAGTTGATGCCGCTTCTTCATTGTGTCAATGCTCTTTACCATTTGGTGTGTGTTTGGAGTGGCTGGTACTGGTTGTTCCTTTCTGTTCAGTGCTGCTTTCGGGAGCTCTTGTAAAGCAGGCCTGGTGAACGTAATTGCTTGTTTGTAAAGGATTTTATTTCTCCTTCGCTGGTGACGCTTAGTTTGGCTGGATCCGTTTTGTTCCTTTTTGCCCAGGCTGGAGTGCAATGGCGTGATCTCGGCTCACTGCATCCTCCTCCTACTGGGTTCGGGTGATTCTTCTGCCTCAGCCTCTGGGATAGCTGGGATTACAGGCGCGTGCCACCACGCCCGGCTCATTTTGTATTTTTAATAGAGACGGAGTTTCACCATGTTGGCCGGGCTGGTCTCAAACTCCTGACCCCAGGTGATGCAGCCTCCTCAGCCTCCCAAGGTGCTGGGATTACAGCGTGAGCCACCCTGCCCAGCTGGAAACACTTGTTTAAAGGAATCATCATAAAGTTGCTGGCTTTTCAGATATTTCCAGATTTGTACAGATGAACTCTAGGAAACGAGCCAGGAAACCTCCACTCGTTCTAAAATGCTGGGCGGCCTCTAGATTCTAGTGGTAGTCCGTTGCTGTGGCTGCCAACCTAGTTATTCCCTGCCTAGATGTGCCGTTTGCTGTTTATGCAGGTATTTCTCTTACAACTAAAGCCCTTTCACCTTGATTTTTTTCATATTCTGGTAACTTAAACCTCGGAGCAGTGTCTCCTGGTAGCCACTGTCCCATCCAGTATCATAGCCACTACCCACTTATGGATACTTAATTAAACCAAAAAATTCCGTTTCTCAGCACACAATCACCACCTGTTGCTAGGGCTGCCCCGTTGACCGCAGAGCCTTAGGCGTCCAGGGTGCAATTCTCCTGAGGATTCATCAGTGGCTGCAACAAGTGCTTCAGCCCAAACCGGCATCGGAAGTGTTCTGTGCTGGCCATAGGCGGCGCTCAGTAAGTGTGTGTTGAAGAGAGTGTAGGTGAACCAGGATATTGTGCTGAGATGATTTTGAGTTAAGCCTGAGATAGTAATGACTTTAGGCTTTTTATTTATTTTTTTTATTTCTTTATTATTTTTGAGATGGAGGCTCGCTCTGTCGCCAAGACTGGAGAGTGCAATGGCGCAGTCTTGGCTCACTGCAAGCTCCACCTCCCAGGTTCAGGCGATTCTTAGCCTCCCAAGGAGCTGGGATTACTGGCGTCCGCCATCACGCCTGGCTAATTTTTGTATTTTTAGTAGAGAGCGTTTCACCATGTTGTCCAGGCTGGTCTTGAACCCCTGACCTTGTGATCCGTCTGCCTCGGCCTCCCAAAGTGCTGGGATTACAGGTGTGAGCCACCGTGCCTGGCTAGGTTTTTTATTTTAAATGTGTCCCTTTTGTAAGCAGTCTGAACCCCAGATTTGGGATGAGTTAAGTTTCTCACCAAAGAGTGTGTGACCGTGCTTCGGGAAGGAAAGAGCGGCTGTGGTGTGCATGGCTTCGTGAGGCCTTCCCGGCCATGCAGAGGTTCGTGGCTTTCCTCCTGTGGTTAAGATGCACCGTGCTCTACAACCTGCTCAGCTGACGTTACGTGTTTATTACACTCTCCACAGATGATGCCAGAAGTCCGGGGAGCCTTGTTTGGGGCCAATGCCAACAGGAAGTTTTTGGACTAAGCCTCTGGGAGGTGGAGCTCATCCTCGGCTCTCCTGCTGTGACATGGAAGCTTCTGATGTTTGAAGAAACACGGTGTCTCTGTAGCTTCTTTACTGCCCCAGTGCTGCTCTGTATTTATCAGTGATGCCCCTCTGTCTGTCACTAATGCCTTGCCTAATTGTTCAGTGGCAGAAAGCTTCATGTAATATGATCAAGACCCATCTCCAGTTCATCTGAAAGGAACACAGCGTCCGGCTGGTTCAGCGCACTAGGGGAGGGCCGGGTGGTGGCTGCATGGGCTTCCTGGGTCTCCGTTCTCCTCTGGCGCAGAGGTGACGTGTTTGGCGTTCTCGGCCCTGCATTCCCCACTCTTGAGGCTTAAGGCGCATGTGGCACACCACTTCTTCCAGTAGTCCTTCACTGTTCCCTGTTTAGGTCTCCAAGTTTTCCCTCTTCTGTAAATGTGATTCAGAATCTAAGCCATGGATGTGCTTTATTTATTAAAAGAGTTATGTGGAATTAATGTGATTTCTAGTGTCAGGCACTGTAAGTTTAGAGTTAGAGAGAGTTAAATTTTTACTGAGGCACCTAGAAAAGAAGTATTTTCCATATCCCCCGTGGCACTGGATGGTGACAGCTGTCAGCACCTGGATCCTCGGGGTATCCCCCGGCTCTTGCCGGTGTTCCCAGCCCATTACCCGGGAGCGTTCCTTCCAGGCCTTGTGATCTCCCACACGCCCCAGCCCCACCCCCCGCACGCTCTCCAGTGTGACCTGGCCTCTGGAAGGGCTCTACCACTTCAGCAAGGAAATGGTGTTATTAGTGTTGCCCCTGTGAGGAAAACCAGGTTACTTTGGAGCCAGTCGCTGTGTGCAGGGCCCAGATCCTTTGTCTTCCACAGGCGATGACTAGAGCTGCCCAGGGCCTTGCGGCTAGTACATGGTGGAGCTGGGACTCCAACTCAGCTGCGGTTCTTGTAACAGTGACATCCCCACGGCCGACCCGTTAGTACCGTCCTTGTCCTCATTAGCCCACGTTTCACAGCAGGTGGGGACTAATGTACACAAACACCTCCTGCCGCAGGTGCTCGCCGCTCAGGACTGGCCCCAGTGGTGCGACCTTACTTCTCCCGGAGCGGCCTGTGGGGAGGAGCTCTCCCGGCACACTCAGTTCCTCAGGTGGTGCGCTCAGGAAGGGGTTAGTGCCGCTCACAATCAACCCTATGGCTGCGTTCCTCCACACCCGGAAGTAACACCTCCCTCCACGCCTTTTAACATTTGGCTTTGAAATGGATACAGGAAAGTAGACAGCGACACCATTCACTGCAGCCTGTCTGCTGTGCGCGCTGATTCACAGATGCGATCTCACCGTTCACCTTTACTTCAAACACTGTTCTGTGGAAAGGACGGGCGTCTTCGAGAGCCTGGGCTCTGGGGGACAGGCCGGGCTGCTCAGTCGGAGCCAGCCTCAGCCCTCGGCCATCCGAGGATTTGAAAGGGTGCCTGGTCTCAAACCGGATGCCGACTTCGAGGTTTTTCATGGTCTCCTGCACTTGTGATCCTCCTCTTCCTCAAAATCAGTGCTAGGGCTCATCGTAAGTTACGGAATTCAAGATTAACAGCGACATCCTCAATGACTCAACAATGCCGAGTTTGTGAAACAGAAGAAACAAATGCTAAATCATAGAAACAACCCTTCTATCTTGACAACCTGTTCAAGTCCTGCACTTAATACAACTAAAGCAAGTACTATTCTTGTTAAAGTAGGTGGTGGGGGCTTCTGAAAGCCCCCAGAGAAGAAGGCTGTGCTCAACGTGCTGTTACAGTAGGGCTGTCTCCCGAGATTGAGGTAGCACTACAGTGTACAGCATAGAGGACAAGACAGGCCAGGGTGGCCTCGCCTGCCCTTGTCCCCTCTAGGCTAAGTAAAAGGCTAGAGAGAGGGCCGCGAGTGCAGGGACTTGAGCACCAGCTCTGTCTACTCAAAACACTTTAAGATGCGCTCTCCAATCCCAATGAAATAGACCCCTTGAGCAATCCCAAAGAGGGGTGCTATGACCAGCGCCCGGCAGCCGGCGCCTTTCATGAAGGCAGATGGTCCCTCCTGAATCCAGAGTTTCCTGTGGAGAAAGAAGAGCCAGTGAGCCGATGGGCAGGGGCATTCTGCAAGCAGCCCTTCGTAGTGGCGGCCTCTCCACCTGGGCACCTCTCCTTCGAGAACAGCGCCTTGCACAGCAAGAGCAAGAGTCCAGCGGTGCGGGAGCTGGGCCAAGGTTGGTTATGTATGCAGTTAGGCCAAGGCCTTGGAAGTAGGCGTGGTGGCTAGAATCTTCAGTGAGGCGCTGTAGGGGTGCCAGGAAGAAAAAGGCTCCCAGTACATCCTGTTCTCTTTGAGAGGTGAGGGAAAGGGAAAGACTTCAAAGAAACCCAGGGCCCTGCATTCGAGTTGGTCTCTACATCTGGTCTAGGCAGACACCCACGCAGAGGAACTTGTCCCAGCCACCATTTGGGAGGACACTGGCTCTCACCTGGCACAATCAGTGATCCCGCTGTACATGTCCTCACCCAGGCCTTTCTTGAGGGTTTGGATTCGCGTTTTCAGAACTACAGTAAAAGTTAAAGTGAGCAGTGAACAGCTTACTTTCAGTGTCCTCCCCTCCACACAAGGGCTGGGTCCTCCTTTAGAGCCACTACATATAAAGCTGAGTCATGAGGCCAGTTCTGCCGTTGTGTGGTCTGTAAATGGAGGTGTCCTCTGTGGGCCTCAGCCATAAACTAAATGAAGCACGTTATTGTGGCCCTGTTGGTTTTTGTTGAGACAGGGTCTTGCTCTGTTGCCCAGGCTGGAGTGGCGTGGCACAATCACAGCTCACTACAGTCTTAACCATCCGGGCTCCAGTGATCTTGCCACCTGCGCCTCCCAAGCAGCTGGGACTACAGGAATGCACCACCACACCCAGCTAATGTTTTTACCTTTTTTAGAGAAAGGGTCTCTGTTGCCCAAGCTGGTCTTGAACTCTGGGCACCTCCCTTGGCCTCCCAAAGTGCTGGGATTACAGGGGTGAGCCGCCACACCTGGCCAGGTTACTATTGGTATAGGAAGTCTGACTACACATGTTTGGGGGGCTGGAAGCAGCCCTAACTCAGGGGAAGCATTGTCTTCTCACACTGGGTTTAGCTCCCACCTTTAGCCCAAAATTCTATTATTTATTTATTTATTTGAGATGGGGTCTCCTGCTGTCGCCCAGGCTGGAGTGCAGTGGCGTGGTCTCGGCTCATTGCAACCTCCGCCTCCTGGGTTCAAGCAATTCTCCTACCTCAACCACCCAAGTAGCTGGGACTACAGGCACCCCTGCCACCACACCCAGCTAATCTTTTTGTATTTTTAGTAGAGTTGGGATTTCGCCATGTTGGCCAGGCTGTTCTCGAACTCCTGACCTCAGGTGATGTGCCCACCTCGGCCTCCCAAAGTGCTGGGATTACAGGCGTGAGCCACCGCGCCTGGCCAGCCCCAAATTTTAAAACATCAGCAATCATTTATAGCTGAGGCTCACGACTCTTTTGAGGGGACAAAAAGCTATAGGAATCAGCATCCTGAAGGCGAGGGGATGTGTCAGGGGTGAGAAACAGAAAAGCGGGGTCTCTGGGCACTCTCTGCGTGACGGCCTCTAGACAGCCTCTGCCAGTGGCCAGATTGTAACCCAAGGTCTTCCAGGGTTGGGCCGTTGCATCTAATAGTGCAAAAGTGCTGTTTATCCCACAGAAACGACACGTCTCCCACATCCTCACCATCCAGAGGCGTCACTGCGACCGCAGCTACGGAACCTGCCACACAGCCTGACGCGAAGGAATGTGCAAAGGACGCCTTACCGGCGAGCTCGTTGAACCCCAGGTTGTTAAGGTTGGCAAACAGCGGGAAGTAGATGATGGAGAAGGGAATGTCCCTGCAGAAGAGGAAGAAGCACTGAGCTCCGATCCACCCTGGGGCTGCCACCCAAGGTTAGACAATGAGCTTTGCTGTGAGCTGTAGGGCTCACGGTCAGGAGCCGCTACGACTCGTCCCTGCTTCGGTACCCCATGAGCATGGGTAAGGGACAGCAGGGGACAAAAGAGCTGTTGCTGTCCATCCTGCCCTCCCAGCACCTTCCTCTGCCCTATAGCACCTGCAGCATCTTGACTGCCAGAGGCAAGTCTGAGGCTGGAAACCGTTCTGTAAAGGGGCAGGCAGGCCCAGGAAGGATGAGGGGCAGGCTTTGCATTCACTACCAACTCTGCAGTGCTTCGCGGACAGGGCTTCCGCAGGTGCTTTTGGGCCCAAAACACCCAGCCTTCCTGTGGGCCTGGTCACTGGAGACAGGGCCTTAAACATTAGTCTTCCTGGTACCCATTCTGTGCCACCGCCGCCAATCTTGACAGAACAGGAAGCATGGAAGTGGTCTGCTCACCTGGGTTTGGATATTCCGGGAAGGACAGAGGCAGAGAGGGAGAGCCAGCCTCTGGCCCTGTGCGCTCCCATGCACTCGTCCTAGGGGACTGGAAGAAAGACTCACCTGAGGAGAGTGGCACCCAGGCCCCTGTAGAGCCCCGCCAGGCCCTGCGTGCGGAGCAGCTCCCAGGCAATGAGGGCGGCAGAGGGGCGCTTGTGGGTGGAAGCCGGACCAGTTGTGTAGGACCTGGAGGAGGAGGGCACTGAGGCTGGGCCCTGATGATGGGCGGCTGGAAGGGAAAGGACAGACCCGTCACTACCCAGTCCCCGACAGACGCTGCAAAACACTCCCACGAGTGTGGCTGTCAGTCCCTGCCCCTGGGACAGCTCAGAGGCCAGGCTGACACCTTAACTGGCATCTGGAAGAATGTCCTCATTTTAACTTTAGAATATTAAATGTCGGCTCTAAGAACGTCCTCCTAAGGTCTGCAGTCTCTCGGGAGCTATCCCAGCGCTGGGAACACCTTCCAAGAGCGCAGCCACTGTCTGGCCGCTTGCTTCTCGGCTGCGTTCATTACGGCTCCATTCCTCGCCCTCCGTTAAAACTGGTTTTGATCTGGCTTACGTTTCTAAACCGTTTCTCAGCCTATGTAGATCATTTCTATTTTTAATTTTGTGTTTTACATGAAGTCTCTGTCCCCTAGGCTGGAGTGCAGTGGTGTGATCTCGGCTCACTGCAACCTCCGCCTCCTGGGTTCAAGCAATTCTTCTGCCTCAGCCTCCCTAGTAGCTGGGACTACAGTACCATACCTGGCTGATGTTTATAGTTTTAGTAGAGACAGGGTTTCACCACGTTGGCCGGGCTGGTCTCAAACTCCTGACCTCAGGTGATTCACCCACCTCGGCCTCCCAAAGTGCTGGGATTACCGGTGTGAGCCACTGGACCTAGCCTAGATCACTTTTAGACAGAAAAAAAGAATTTGCTGCTTTCCACCATTAGGCAGAACATACATGAAATTCCCGTGTCCTGAAGTGCTAATAGGATGGGATGGCCTCCCTCAGGCTTCCAGGACACCTCCTCCTGCTCGCCTTCCAAGGTGAGGTGAGCAGGTCCTTCCTGCCCTTCCCTATTGGAAGAATTTGATTTCATGCAAAGCCCATCATCTGATGGGTTCAGTATTTATTACTCATGAAAATGGAATTATACCGCATTTTAAATGACGTGAGGCCTGTTAATGGCCATGGGATTTGTGACACTGAAATTCTGTGAATATTTAATTTTCCTAAATCTCAGTGTCGGAAGGGAAGGGCACCACACGGACTGAGGGCCGTACGCTCCTTGCCAGGTGCTGCATTATCAGGTGCGTTACGGATTAGCGCGTTTAATTCGGACATTGCGGTTTAGCCCTAAGGAGAGGTCCCCACATCCGTTCCACAGTTGGCCAACTCCTGCTCTTACTAGATGCATTGGCATCTATGCCACTCCACAGGGCTTGCTTTTTTTTTTTTTTTTTTTTTTGAAAAGACAAGATTTGTTATGTTGCCCAGGCTGGGCTCGAACTCTCGGTCCACCCCCCTCAGCCTCCTGAGTAGCTGGGATTACAGGAGTGTCCTGTGCTGAGCCAACACCTCTCCGCTGTTCTGATGGGGCCAGGATTTGGGAAAGGGCCAAACTTCTCTTCCAGGAAAAACCGAAAGAATGGGAATGATTCTCTTCTCCCTCTTTATGCCTTTCCACCAAAAGCTTCAACATCATGAGATACTTATGACTGAAGGTTTCAGTGGAGCAGTCACTGGCTTTTTTGGTTTTTTTTTTAAGAGATGAGGTTTCACAGTATTCGCCAGGCTGGTCTCAACTGCTGACCTGTGATCCACCCACCTCAGCCTCCCAAAGCACTGGGATTACAGGCATGAGCCACTGTGCCCAGCCAGCACTCAAAATCTTTAGGAAATCAGGTCCAACTGTGAAGGCAATATGACAGAAGCATTAAGTATTTTCTGACCCTCTGAATCAAGATTCTCATTTCTGCTATTTGTTCTAAAGCTGGAAGTGTTGATTAAATGGCTAACCATAAATGAAGACCTTTTTTTTTTTAAACACAGAGTCTTACTCTGTTGCCCAGGCTGGAGGGCAGTGATGCAGTCTCAGCTCACAGCAACCTCTGCCTCCGGGGTTCAAGTGATTCTCCTGCCTCAGCCTCCTGAGAGGCTGGGACTACAGACATGTGCCATCACAGCCAGCTAATTTTTGTATTTTTAGTCGAGATGGGGTTTTACCATGTTGGCCAGGATGGTCAAACTCCTGACCTCAAGTGATCCTCCTGCCTCGGCCTCCCACAGTGCTGGGATTACAGGTGTGAGCCACCGTGCCTGGCCTCCCACGGTGCTGGGATTATAGGTGTGAGCCGCTGTTCCCGGCTGAAGACTCCTACCTATTCTGAAAGCTGACTGGTCACACAGCCCAGCAAATGAGGGCGGGATGTGGGATGTGCCTGGTTCCAATCCCTGCCCTTTGCTGTTCCTATGGGATGCGGGGACAGGCCTCACCCAAGCGTCCAGCATCCTGCAGCTGAATCTTGAGCATTTCCATGGGACAGGTAACCACCACCTGGCATATCCCAGCGCCACACCCGGCGAGCATCTCCATCTTCAGGTTCCGCTGCATCCTATGGAAACAGGCATCCGGCTCCTTCAGCTGCAGGCCCGCAGGCCCGTCCTGGTGCTGCTGCCCTCCTGTGAGAGGGGGACTTTCCCTGGATAGCACCCGTGGCTGCCACTCACCCAGCTGGGTGAGTCATCAGCTGGCCGTCAGGTGTGGTCTCTGTACCGACAGGAGACTGAGTTTAAAGCAAAGCCTGCTAGAGCGGCAGCACCGCATGGAAGCTGAAAAGTGACAAACTGTCCAGGCCAGGTGCTGTCCCTGATCCCTTCAGGAACATCGCTGGGCAGCATGAGTCACAGAGAGAGCTAGAAAGGGTTTGGGGGCTGATTTGTTTCTCCTGGGTGAGGTCTCGCTCTGTCACCCAGGATGAAGTGCAGTGGAGCCAACGTGCCTCACTGCAGCCTCGACCTCCTGGGCTCAAGCGATCCTCCTTCCTCAGCCTTCTAAAGTGCTGGGATTACAGGCATGAGCCACTGCACCCAGCTTGGTGGCTGCCTTTTAAAAATGTATTGGCTAATTGATGGATTTGTCTGTATAAATATTCTGTATTTTCTCTATATTATCTGTCACACTTCAAAGTACACCAGCTCATTCTCTCCCTTCACGCTGCAGCAGCCCAAACACACCAGCCCTCAGACATAGGTGTGTACATATGTATGCATGCAGGTAGATAAACTGAGGCACATTTGAAATCTTCCTGCCATGTCTCCCAAAAAACACACAGGGAAGGATCCAACCCCATACCCATCTTCCATGAGCAGCTGCCGGAAGAAGTCATTGGCCGCCAGCTTGATGGCCTTCTCTGGAGTGACCAGAGTGAGGTTCACTGCAGCCCCTGGAAGTGAAGGACAAGATGAGGTGTCAAGGTGCTCCCAGAAACAACAGTTCCCTGCATCTGCCCCTCAGTCCTAGGCAGGCCAGTCTCAGAGTGCAGGGCATCGGGGGGCGCAGGACCACCTGGCCTGTTTCACCGAAACAGCTTTCAATTCCCCCAACCTACATATATATTTCCTATGGACTCCTCAGTCCATTATCAGGAAGACATTTGACTTGTGTCGCTGCTGGTGGGGTAGAGTAACAGGCCCAGGCGCCGGGATGGCGGCTCCGCTCCTCTGTGCCGCACAGCCAGTCCCATTGGCTGCTGGCTCAGGGCTCTGAGGGGTTTGTGTTTTGCTTCTTGGGGGCACAAGCATATCAGCTCCTACTCAACTCCAGCTTTGGATCCACTGTCCAAGGCAGCGTCATGGCTGGGGACCCCGCCAGAACCGCTGCAGCGCTGGACTGTGCTGGGGAGGAGCTCAACCCCCTTCCCTCAGTCCCTTTCAGCCCCTTCCTCTTCCCTCCTAGCCAGGCAGAGAGAAGGGCAGGCAGGTGGGGTGGGCTCTTAGTGAGGCGGTGGCGAGGGTGTGCTCTGGGGGTTTCGGGAAGTCTTACCAGGACCCAGAGCCGCCTCTGTCTCCACCCAAGAGCGCAGAGGCTCATCTGGAGCGAACCCCTGACCCCATTCCGGCAGTCCCGGGACAGGAGGAACAACCAGTTCCCAGCGTCCCGTCCGCTCACACCTGGTGCCCAGCCTCCCCGGGGTTCTGAGAAGCCCACCTCGGTACATGCCGAAGAAGCCCTCCGCCCGCGCCGTCTTCATCAGGCAGTCGATCCTGGAGGTGGAGGCCAGAGGAGGAGTGGGCGCGCAGCAAGCCGCCCGGCCCCGCCGGCACCTCCCGGAGACCCGCGCCCCAGCCCTGCGATCAGCGCTCAGCCCGGGGGCTGGAGGGAAGGGCCCCGGCCCCCCACCGCCCCCCACCGCCCCCGCTCCCCACACTCGCCCGCCGGCACCCACATTCCTTTGTACATGGCTTTTCCATGCTGATTCTGCAGCCGAGTCTTGGCCAGGTCGGCGGGAAACACGCAGGTCACCCCCACGAGCCCTGCCACGCCTCCGTTGATGAGTTTGGCTGTGATGCTGGGACACCGGGAGGAGAGAGGCAGAGGGAGCGGCGAGTCAGGGAGCGGAGGCCGCCAGGAACGGGCAGGGGCGCAGAGAGCGGGCAGCCCCAGCCACAGACGTCCACAGACCCTCCGCCTCCCTGGCCGAGGCTCCGGCCCACACAGGCGCCCACGCTCACCGGGGCTGAGGCATCCTGCTGCCACCCGGAGTCCCGGAGCTGGGCCCTGCAGGGGCTTCTGGGAGGAGCCCAGCTCCGCCCCCCCCACCCCCCGTGGGGCCCACCAGGGCACCGCTGGGCCCCAGCGCTGGCTCCTCCGCGGCCTGCAGCCACGTGTGCAGCTGTCACTCAAACGGGCTGAGGGTCAAGGCTGCAGCGGGTTTGAATCCTGACTGCGACCCCGCCTCTCTGGGCCTGTGATCCCCTGGAACTCACTGCAGGGCTGCGGAGGACTGTGGAAACCGTGCGTGGGGAGAATGCCCGCTATTGTTCATAGTCAGAGAACAGGATCTTCCCACAGTGAGGGCTTCACGCCGGTCAGCCGTGGAGATGATCCAGCCCCAGCGAAAAGTGAAGCCACAGTTTAGGGAACACGCCCCGCCCTGCTAGGTATAGGAGCTTTGGAAGGCGGGAAATAGCGTTCTCGGACTTCTGGGGACCCCCTAAACTCTTCCTTTCGGGCCCCTTTGGAGATGGATTTACCCGGAAGTGGTAAGAGCAGATTACTGTGGGCCTTTCACAAAGGAAGAAACTTGGGACAATAAAGAGAACCGTGGACCAAATTGTGCAGTCAGAGGAGATGAACTCAAATAATATTGAACAACAATACACGTGTGCACAGGTGCCTGTGCGTATGTGTTTGCCCCAGTGGACGTAGTGCAGGTGTTATTTGGGGGACGGGTCTCACTCCCTCTTCCCTAGGACTCGGCTTGTTCTTCAGAAACCTAGATGTGCTGTCATCACAGGGACTCTTCCCGCCAGGCCCACAGCCCAGGGCCTCAGGCTGCGCCAGCCCAACTCACCTCAGATCCTGGTGGGTCATTCTGCAGGGGCTGAGGATCCCGGGACACGCGGGTTTTGAGCGCAGCCTGGCTCGAGCCGCCTTCCTGGCAAGTCACGACCTCCCTGGGCTGCAGCTTCCTCCCCTGCAAAGTAGTCAGAGGGATGAGAACACACATCACTAGTGGATTAATGCTACCCGCTGCCCCACTTTTTCTCCTTCCTAAACATTTTGGACTTTGGGAATCAAATCGTAATCTGGGAACTTTTGGACTCTGGGATCAGATAAGAGGGAAGAGGAATGAGAGAGGAGGATACGGCCCGCTGGGGCTGCAGGAGAGGCTGTCTAGGGGCATTCTGGGCAGAGCGGTGGGGCTGGTGCCGGAGGGAGCGAATGGGCTGGGAAAGGATTTTAAGGGGAGTTGCTATAGACTAGGAATCCCTCTCATGGTGTCCAAGAACTACAACTAAATACTTACAATACTTAAAAGGGCCGGCATGGTGGCTCACGCCTGTCATTTTAGCACTCTGGGAGGCTGAGGTGGGTTGACTACCTGAGCTCAGGAGTTCGAGACCAGCCTGGGCAACACAGTGAAACCCCATCTCCACTAAAGTACAAAAGAAATTAGCCAGGCGTGGCGGCATGAGCCTGTAATTCCAGCTACTGGGGAGGTGGAGGCAGAGCATGCAATGAGCTGAGATTGAGCCACCGCACTCCAGCCTGGGCAACACAGTGAAACCCCATCTCCACTAAAGTACAAAAGAAATTAGCCAGGCGTGGCGGCATGAGCCTGTAATTCCAGCTACTGGGGAGGTGGAGGCAGAGCATGCAGTGAGCTGAGATTGAGCCACCGCACTCCAGCCTGGGCGACAGAGCGAGACTCTTTCTTACAAACAGGCCAACAAAAAACCTAAGATGCTCTACAGCTACTTTTTGGCTATTAAACCATGTTTCCTGAACGTCACGTACGCCTGTGGAGAAACCAAAGTACATTATATTCCTAAGTGACAGTGCTCAGGAAGTGGAAGCTACCACGATTTCACCAGCTTCTGAGGAGGGTGGCCATTTTTTTTTTGAGATGTATTTTCATTCTTGTCGCCCAGGCTGGAGTATAATGATGCAATCTCAGCTCACCGCAACCTCCACCTCCCGGGTTCAAGCAATTCTCCTGCCTCAGTCTCCTGAGTAGCTGGGATTACAGGCACGCGCCACCACACCTGGCTAATTTTTTGTATTTTTAGTAGAAACAGGGTTTCTCCATGTTGGTCAGGCTGGTCTTGAACTCCTGACCTCAGGTGATCCTCCTACCTTAGCTTCCCAAAGTGCTGGGTTAACAGACGTGAGCCACTGCGCCTGGCCAGAGTGGGCCTGCTTTAAACCCAGAGAGGAGGTGTCAGGAACTCCCCTGCACTCCTCACTGCTCTCCAGGCTGCCAGCAATTCTTTGCTGTCTCCAGCTATTTTGTTTCGGGTAAGAAAAGAAAAGGGGAACGGGGGAGACATCAGTCTTTCTGTCGGTGCTACATTCATCCATTCAGGAAGGCATTTACTGAGTGCCGGGCACTGCTCCAGGACTGGGGATTTAGCAGTGAACAAAGACACATTCTAGTTCTCAAGGACTTAAGTTCGGCCCAGCGCAGTGGCTCACGCCTGTAATCTCAGCACTTTGGGAGGCTGAGGCAGGTGGATCGCTTGAGCACAGGAGTTCAAGACCAGCCTGAGCAACAAAGTGAAACCCTGTTTCTACAAAAATATGAAAAATTAGCTAGCGGTGGTAACCCAGCTACTCAGGAGGTTAAGATGGGAGGATTGTTTGAGCCCAGGAAGTGGAGGTTGCAGTGAGACAAGATCATGTTACTACACTCTGGCCCGGGCAACAGAGCAAAACAAAACCCTATGCCAAAGAGAGAGGGAGAGAGGGAGAGAGAGAGAGGGAGAGAGAGAGAGAGGGAGAGAGGGAGAGAGAGAGGGATGGAGAGAGAGGGAGAGGGAGAGGGAGAGAGGGAGAGAGAGAGAGAGGGAGAGAGAAAGAGATAGAGGGATATAGAGAGAGGGAGATAGAGAAAGAGGGAGAGGGGGAGAGAAAGAGGGAGAGAGAGAGGGAGAGAGAAAGGGGGAGAGAGAGAAAGAGGGAGAGAGAGAGGTAGAGAGGGGGAGATAGAGAGGGGGAGAGAGGGAGAGAGGGAGAAAGAGAGGGAGAGAGGGAGAGAGAGGGAGAGAGAGAGGGAGAGGGAGAGAGGGAGGGAGAGAGGCAGGGAGAGAGAGGGAGAGAGAGAGGGAGAGGGAAAGAGAGAGAGGGAGGGAGAGAGAGAGGGAGAGGGAGAGAGGGAGGGAGAGGGAGAGAGAGAGGGAGAGAGAGGAAGAAGGAAATAGAGAAAAAGGGAAAAGGAAAGAGAAAGAAAGAGAAAAAGAGAGGCAGGGCACAGTGGCTTACTCGCATAATTCCAACACTTTGAGAGACTGAGGAGGGCAGATCACCTGAGGACAGGAGTTTGAGACCAGCCTGGGCAACATGGTGAAACCCCGTATCTACTAAGAATACAAAAATTGGCTGGGCGTGGTGGCTCATGCCTGTAATCCCAGCACTTTGGGAGGTCGAGGTGGGCTGATCACGAGGTCAGGAATTTGAGACCAGCCTGGCCAACAGAGCGAAACCCCATCCTTACTAAAAATACAGAAATTAGTGTGGCATGGTGGCACGCACCTGTAGTCCTAGCTACTCTGGAGGCTGAGGCAGGAGAACTCTTTTACTCTGAATAAAAAGAGAGGTTGGAGTTTTGTGCAGGGGAATGACATGCTCTGGCAAAGTGCATTTTGGCTGCAGTTTTGAGACAGCAGAGGGGCAAGAGAGAAATAGAAAAACAATGAGGGTATGCAGTCGTGTAGGCAGCGGGGAAGGCTGCCTGCCCCAGCGACCGGTGGCCAGGTGTGGTCAGGGTTAAACTGTGGATGTAAACTGAAGGCAGGGCGGACAGGGTTCCCCCAGGGCCAGATGCGAGAGGGAGAAGCAGCAGCTAGGGGACACTGCGGCTTCTGGTCTGAGAACCTGGAATAACGAATGGGCTTGTCATGTGGCATTTGGACCACGCACAACTTGGACCTGTTGGCAAAGGAGAGGTAGCCGGTCTGTGGCGGATACAGAAAAGCAGCACATCTGGAGAACAAAATATGGAGACGTTCTGAGTGTTTCAATGCCCACTTCCAGTTCATGCCCGGTGCCAGCTGCATTCCTGGCCTTGGTCTCTCTGACCCTCAGTTGTCACAAATTGACCTTCTGCCTAACTTGACAGAACTGTGGGTTGGTTCTTTTTTTTTTTGAGACGGAGTTTCACTGTTGTTACCCAGGCTGGAGTGCAATGGTGCGATCTCGGCTCACCGCAACCTCCGCCTCCTGGGTTCAGGCAATTCTCCTGCCTCAGCCTCCCGAGTAGCTGGGACTACAGGCACACGCCACCATGCCCAGCTAATCTTTGTATTTTTAGTAGAGACGGGGTTTCATCATGTTGACCAGGATGGTCTCGATCTCTTGACCTCGTGATCCACCCGCCTCGGCCTCCCAGAGTGCTGGGATTACAGGTGTGAGCCACCGCGCCCGGCCGGATCGGTTCGTTATACTTTTTTTTTTTCTGAGACAAGTTCTTGCTCTATCACCCAGGTTCGTGTGCAATGGCACAATCACAGCTCTCTGCAGTCTTGAACTCCTGGGCTCAAGGGATCCTCTGGCCTCAGCCTCCCAAGGAGCAGGGACTACAGGTGTGCACCACCATGCCCAGATAATTTTGGTTTTGAGATGGAGTTTTGATCTTGTTGCCCAGGCTGGAGTACAATGGGGCAATCTCAGCTCACTGCAAGCTCTGCCTCCTAGATTCAAGCCATTCTCCTGCCTCAGCCTCCTGAATAGCTGGGATTACAGACGTGCGCCACCATGCCCAGGTAAATTGTTTTTTTTTTTTGAGACGGAGTTTTGCTTGTTACCCAGGCTGGAGTGCAATGGCGCATTCTCGGTTCACCACAACCTCCGCCTCCTGGGTTCAAATGATTCTCCTGCCTCAGCCTCCCCAGTAGCTGGGATTACAGGCATGCACCACCATGCCCGGCTAATTTTTTGTAATTTTAGTAGAGACGATGGGGTTTCTCCATGTTGGTCAGGCTGGTCTCGAACTCCTGACTTCAGGTGATCCACCCACCTCAGCTTCCCAAAGTGCTGGGATTACAGGCGTGAGCCACTGCGGCCGGCCAATAATTTTGTATTTTTAGTAGAGACGGGATTTCACCACGTTGGTCAGGCTGATCTCAAACTCCTGACCTCAGGTGATCTACCTGCTTCAGCCTCCCAAAGTGCTGGCATTAAAGGCTTGAGCCGCCTCGCCAGGCTGGTTTCTGATACTTCAGATCCAAAGTCTTATCCCCCATGGGGATGGGAGAGAGAATTTAGAAATTATAGGCCCCGGGGTGTGGAGCCAGCAGAGAGGAAGGAGGGCACTGGCTGTGAACCTGGGCAGAGCTGGCAGATGGCAGCTCTTGTGCAGCTCTGTTTATCATCTCTTGAGGCTCAGCTCATGTGCTCCGAAAGCTGGAGGTCTAGGGCCTCAGTGGCAGAAGGTCTGGGGTTAAAGTGCACTGGTTGCTCTGAGATATCCGATAAGAGGTTACGAGAGAGAGACACGCTCCAACTCCAGGTAACTGACTTAAAAATGAATAGGACGGGGCCAGGTGCCGTGGCTTGCACCTGTAATCCCAGCACGTTGGGAGGCTGAGGCAGCAGGATCACCTGAGGTCAGGAATTTGAGACCAGCCTGACCAATATGATGAAACTCCATCTCTATTAAAAATACAAAAACTGCGGGCCGGGCACGGTGGCTCAAGCCTGTAATCCCAGCACTTTGGGAGGCCGAGGCGGGTGGATCACGAGGTCAAAAGATCGAGACCATCCTGGTCAACATGGTGAAACCCCGTCTCCACTAAAAATACAAAAAAATTAGCTGGGCGTAGTGGCGCATGCCTGTAACCCCAGCTACTCGGGAGGCTGAGGCGGGAGAATTGCCTGAACCCAGGAGGCGGAGGTTGCGGTGAGCCGAGATCGCGCCATTGCACTCCAGCCTGGGTAACAAGAGCAAAACTCTGTCTCAAAAAAATAAAATAAATAAAAATAAAAATAAAATAAAATAAAAATACAAAAACTGGCTGGGCTTGGTGGCTCACGCCTGTAATCCAAGCACTTTGGAGGCCAAGGCGGGTGGATCACCTGAGGTCGGGAGTTCAAGACCAGCCTGACCAACATGGTGAAAGCCCATCTTTATTAAAACAAACAAACAAACAAAAAACGAAAAACTAGCCATGTGTGGTGGCACACGCCCAGCTACTCAGGAGGCTGAGACAAGAGAATTTCTTGAACCCGGGAGGTGAAGGCTGCAGTGACCCAAGATCACGCATTTTGCACTCCAGCCTGGGCAACAAGAGCAAAACTCTGTCTCAAAAAAATAATAAAAAATAAAAATGGTTGGACACAACCGTTTCTGTGTAAAGCCAGAAAGTCCAATAATTGAGAACATTGTGACTGCTCTTGTAGCCATATTCCCTGCTGTTTCTAGAGCTAAATTACTATAGGAATTGTGGGCCAGGAGTGGTGGCTCATGTCTGTAATCCCAACACTTTGGGAGGCTGAGGTGGGTGGATCACCTGAAGTCAGGAGTTCGAGACCAGCCTGACCAACATGGAGAAACCCCGTCGTCTCTACTAAAAACACAAAAAATTAGCCAGGCGTGGTGGCACACACCTGTAATCCCAGCTACTTGGGAGGCTAAGGCAGGAGAATCGCTTGAACCCGGGAGGCGGAGGTTGCAGTGAGCTGAGATTGTGCCGCATCACTCTAGCCTGGGTGACAGAGTGAGACTCTGTCTCAAAAAAAAAAAAAAAAAAACGAAAGAAAGAAAAAGAAATTGTGATTCCCTGGTTACTGGAATAGGGGTATTTAACAGATGCCAGAGAAATGAGGGACACTGTAATCCCAAGGCCACTAGGAGACAGCTAGCTAGACAGATGTGGTAGTGCCTCCACCCATGAAGAAGACTTGCCTGCTGTGTGCCTCTCCACCCTGAGGCTGTGCCAAGCTGCTGCCAATCCCAGCCCCGGAGCATCCCTTGAGCAGGTGTGGTCATCAAAGCCTACGACTTGACAGGACTTCTTTTTTTTTTTTTTTTTTAGACGGAGTTTCGCTCTTGTTACCCAGGCTGGAGTGCAATGGCGCTATCTCGGCTCACCGCAACCTCTGCCTCCTGGGTTCAGGCAATTCTCCTGCCTCAGCCTCCTGAGTAGCTGGGATTACTGACACGTGCCACCGTGCCCAGCTAATGTTTTGTATTTTTAGTAGACACGGGGTTTCACCATGTTGACCAGGATGGTCTCGATCTCTTGACCTCATGATCCACCTGCCTCGGCCTCCCAAAGTGCTGGGATTACAGGTGTGAGCCACCGCGCCCGGCCTTGACAGGATTTCTGACAGCAGGAAATACATTCGTCAACAGGCAACAAAGGGAAAACCATTAGCCAAAGTTTGAAAGCTGTCATAGCACCATGAAAACCACAAACCTGGCGCCAAGGCCAATCACTGCTCCCTAAGGCAACCCACCAGCCCGAGTGTCAGTCACTCTGCAGATATTTGTTGAGTGCCTACTGTACACCATTTGCAGTTCTAAGCAGCAGGGACACAGCTGGGGACCAATGCAAGGTCCTGACCTCCGCAGAACTGACATGGGGAATGGATTCTAAAGCGACACAGCCCACCCTGCCACAGGGAAGCCCATGTGTTCTCTCAACACAGGTCCCGAAGGATCCCTGGCAAGGGGAGCCCTTCCAGCTCACGAGACCCGAGCAGCCGCATTTCCTGGCCGCAGCGCTTGCTACGCTACCAAAGTTTTGGTCAACAAATTGACACTTGTTTGATGATTGGGTCCTTTCATTTAAAGTTCGCTGGATGCTTCAGACTGTCAGCCAATGGCTCGCGTTTCCCCTACCTTCTTTTTTTTTTTTTTTTTTTTTTGAGGCAGAGTCTTGCTCTGTCACCCAGGCTGGAGTACTCACTGAAACCTCCGCCTCCTGGGTTCAAGCCACCCTCCTGCCTCAGCCTCCCCAGTAGCTGGGATGACAGAACCTGCCACCATGCCCAGCTAATTTTTGTATTTTTAGTAAAGACGAGGTTTCAGCTGGGCGCGGTAGCTCACGCCTGTAATCCCAGCACTTTGGGAGGCCGAGGCGGGTGGATCACGAGGTTAAGAGATCGAGACCATCCTGGTCAACATGGTGAAACCCCATCTCTACTTAAAAAATACAAAAAATTACTGGGCACGGTGGTGCGTTCCTGTAATCCCAGCTACTCAGGAGGCTGAGGCAGGAGAATTGCCTGAACCCAGGAGGCGGAGGTTGCGGTGAGCCGAGATCGCGCCATTGCACTCCAGCCTGGGTAACAAGAGTGAAACTCCATCTCGGGGGGAGGGGAAAAAAAAAAAGACAAGGTTTCACCAGGTTTGCCAGGGTGGTCTCGAACTCGTGACCTCAAGTGATCCACCCGCCTGGGGCCCATTCTTTTTTTTTTTTTCTTCTTGAGACAGAGAGTCTTACTGCGTTGCCCAGGCTGGAGTGTAGTGGTAAGTCTCAACTTTGTCAGCCTCAAGTGATCTGCCCGCCTCAGCCTCCCAAGGTGCCACTGTGCCGGGCTGGAAAAGTGATTCTTAATACATTGTAACTGAGGATCATATTGTAAACAAGACACCATTCAGAATGGCCCTTGCCGGTGAGCTGCAGGGAGGAGAGGGCAGGGTTTTCCAAGCTCCCCCGATCGATCACACTTCTTTTCTTTCTTCCCATCTGAAAACATCCCATACTCTTGACTCCTCCGGCTTCCCCTTCCCTGCAGTCACTTGCTAGATTACCACAGATTGTCCCCTGGGATGCCTGAGGGCTCCTCACTCGGCGCCTTGCCTTCAGCCTCGTTGCCCTCAAATCCACCTTCCACGGGCCAAGTGGGTGAAAGGGCACGGGGCGGTTTCCCGCGGCTCTGGGGACAGCTCCCCTCCCGCACAGCCCGCCCTGCTTTTCCTCTCCCTCACCCGCTGCTTTCAACTCCTGCTTTCAGGACACGTCAGTGCTGCATCTAAGCCTCGCACATACTGTCCCCTCACCCAGGACACTGTTTCCACATGCAAAGCCAGTGATTCACAAACTGTTGTCTGGGCTCAGCTCAGGCATCACCTCCTCCTCCCGCCTTTCTGCAGCCCCCCAGTTCTTGGCTAGGAGCCCTCCTGTTATCCTGCTCGATACTCAGCCGTAGCATTTACTGCATTATGTTCATTATGTCAACACTGACGTGCTTCCCCATGAAAATGACTAGTTATTTGTGAATTAAAACAGTCTTGAGCTGGGCACAGTGGCTCACGCCACTAATCCTAGCACTCTGGGAGGCTGAGGGGGCAGATCACCTGAAGTCAGGAGTTCAAGACCAGCCTGGCCAACACGCTGAAACCCCGTCTCTACTAAGAGAGAAAAAATGAGCCAGGTGTGGTGGCGTGCACCTGTAATCCCTGCCACCCAGGAGGTTGAGGCAAGAGAACTGCTTGAACCCGGGAGGCACAGGCTGCAGTGAGCCGACATCATGGCGCTGCACTCCAGCCTGGCGACAGAGGAAAACTGTCTCAGAAAACGAAAGTCTCAGGGCTGTATCCTGGCCATGGTGCAGAGGCATCCAGTAAGCGTCCCTGAATCTAGGCGCCACCAGGAGGACACCCCTCGACTTTGCTGTCAGACTTGTCACGAGACTACCAGTTCCTCTGTAGAGCTGAGCTCATTTCTTCCCGCCACGAGCAGCTGGGCTGGGGACCTCAGGGTGAGGACCCTTTCCCCGCCCACCTCCTCACATTAGCAGAGCAACGGTGAGTATTCCCAGGAATGAACCCCTCACACTAGCAGCCAGGAGCCAGTTCTTGACTTATGGCCAAGAAAATCACTTGTTTCCTGGCTTGGCTGTTGCATGGGACGCCCCATATTCAGGGGTGGCCACTTCCTCCTGCCCACCCCTTCCAACTCTGCCCAACAAATGGGATGAATGTCCCTGCTCCACTGGCTGCTCTTCCTCTTTCCCCAAATGATTTATTTTGGTAGAATCGTCTTTTCCTAGCAACCCTGAGCTCGATGCTGACAGACAAGACACTTACCTGCTTTACGTAAGAACCTCCGCCTCTTCTGGAACCCGGGATGTAGTGCAGATCGCTGCCGAGCTGCAGGGAGAAGTCGCTTTCAGTGCCGGCCAGCCTGGGCTGGTTTTCTCCGGTCGGTTTCCCTCCCTCTGCATTCCCCTCATCCCCACCGCAGAGTTCCAGACTCTCCCGCACACTGCACCTTCAAATAGGCTGGGTTTGAAGCAAACCCCAAAGAGGTCACTACCCAGTCAAGCCACGCTGTTCCTCCCCAGGTGGCAAGTAGGTTGCTGTTGACTTGGTTGCTAGTATGGCTGGGACAAAAGTCCAGGCTGGGAAAAGACTGTAACAAAGCAGCTTGGGGGTGAGGGGAGACTCACCGCCCACTTAGAGACCTGGAAGCCAGGGCAGAGGACAAACACTGAAAATCAATGCGGTACACACACTTCTGCAAGACATTTGGCACCAGAAGCAAATCCCTGCTTCTTGGTCTCATGCACTTTCCTCACTGCGGATAACTGGCTATTTAAGGGTCCCGGGAGGCACCCTCCCTGCAGGAATATGCTTTCTGTTTATCCCGCATGTATCTGTCGGGGGCCGTCATGTGCTCAGCTGCAGGAGGGCTGCAACGAAGTTCTGGCACATTCTCCGCTCTTAAGATTGTCCCAGTTTCGGAGACACGGATAGGTTTCAGGAAGAAAGTGGCAATTGATTATGGGCTGGAGAAAAGGCCAAGATGCTGATGGAATGATAAAAGGAGAGAGACGTAAAATGGAAATCCAGCGGTAAAAAGTCTAATTTGGGGCAAAAGAAAAAGCTCTTACACCATGTTGGGTGCAGATCAAACAGGACCTTGCTGCCAGACATAGGGTCTGGGAGAGGTGAGGAATCCGCAGTGGACACTTTGAAGTCAGAGATGGAGATTCAGATCCCAGTTCCTAAATTATTAAGTATTACACTTGAAGCGAGTTACTTCACCTAGTGCTTTCTTTATAAAAGGGGGATGGGACATCCATGGAACAAGATTGCCATGAATATTCAAAGAGGCTGTAGAGTGGACTTGAGGATACAATTGCTTTAGAAATACTCTGAACTGGGCCTGGAGCCGTGGCTCACGCCTGTAATCCCAGCACTTTGGGAGGCCAAGGCGGGTGGATCACGAGGTCAAGAGATCGAGACCATCCTGGTCAACAAGATGAAACACCGTCTCTACTAAAAATACAAAAATCAGCTGGGCATGGTGGTGCGTGCCTGTAGTCCCAGCTACTCAGGAGGCTGAGGCAGGAGAATTGCCTGAACCCAGGAGGCGGAGGTTGCGGTGAGCTGAGATCACGCCATTGCACTCCAGCCTGGGTAACAAGAGCGAAACTTTGTCTCGGGGGGGGGAAAAATACTTTGAACCTTAGTTTACTGCTTACTAGCTGTGTGACCTTAAAGAAGTTGCTTAAGGCCGGGCGCGGTGGCTCACGCCTGTAATCCCAGCACTTTGGGAGGTCAAGAGATCGAGACCATCCTGGTCAACATGGTGAAACCCGTCTCTACTAAAAAATACAAAAAATTAGCTGGGCATGGTGGCGCGTGCCTATAATCCCAGCTACTCGGGAGGCTGAGGCAGGAGAATTGCCCAAACCCAGGAGGCGGAGGTTGTGATGAGCCGAGATCGCGCCATTGCACTCCAGCCTGGGTAACAAGAGCGAAACTCCGTCTCAAGGAAGGAGCTGTGCTGCTTGCTCACCTATGAGATAGGACTCAGATCCTGATACTTAGTACAGTGGCTGGAACATAAAAGGTATTCATATGCTAATTCTTTGTAAAATATACATTCCTTTTGAGACGGTGTCTCGCTCTGTCACCCACGCTGGAGCACAGTGGTATGATCTTGGCTCATCACAGCCTTGACCTCCTGGGCTCAAGTGATCCTCTCACCTTAGCCTCCCACATAGCTGGGACTACAGGCGTGCCACCATACCTAATTTTTATTTTTTTTTGTAGAGACAGAGTTTTGCCACGTTGCTCCAGGCAGGTCTAGAACTCCTGACCTCAAGCCATCTACCTGCCTCAGACAAAGTGCTGGGATTACAGATGTGACCCACCACACCTGGCCCATGCTAATTTTCTTCTTCCTCCTTCGGGTGGGCAATGGAAAGCTGATAGAAGATGCTATGGAGTAGGGACCCGATGGGACAGTTCAAGTGGTTTGGGCAGTGTCAGGGAGATTACAGTGAGCTAGGGAAAAGACAGATAGCCTGCCCACAGGAAGGAAGACATGTGAGTGGGTTCTGTGAAGATCCAGCAGGGCTTGGCAGGTGATGGAACATGCCAGAGGTAGGTATCAACATGGATCAGCAGGAGGAAGATACATTATCCCCCCAGCTGAGCACATTAGAAGCAAGGGTAGGTTGGCCGGGCTCACGCCTGTAATCCCAGCACTTTGGGAGGCCGAGGCGGGCGCATCACAAGGTCAAGAGATCGAGACCATCCTGGCCAACATGGTGAAACCCCATCTCTACCAAAAAATACAAAAATTAGCTGGGCGTGGTGGCACACACCTGTGGTCCCAGCTACTTGGGAGGTTGAGGCAGGAGAATTGCTTGAACCTGGGAGGCGGAGGTCGCAGCGAGCCAAGATCGCGCCACTGCACTCCAGCCTGGCGTGTGGTGACAGAGCGAGACTCTGTCTCAAAAAACAAAAAAGCAGTGGGTGGGTAAGTAGAGAGGGGAGGGAAGAGAAGTTTGGTGCTGACAAGTGGCAGTTGCAGGTGAGGGGTGCCAGTAGACACCAGAAACCGCAGTGTGGGGCCGTGTCATGCCCACAAGCATGGCTCAAAAAAAATAGAAAACCGCATTGGCAAGTATGTGGAGCAACTGAAACCCTGTGCACTGCTGGTAAGAAGGTAGAACAGGGCAGCCGTGGTGGAAGACAGTATGGCAGGTCCTCACAAAAGTGAACACAGAGGCCAGGTGCGGTGGCACACGCCTGTAATCCTTGTGCTTTCGGAGGCTGAGGCAGGAGGATCACTTGAGCCCAGGAGTTAGAGACCAGCCTAGGCAAGAACCCATATCTACAATTTTTTTTTTTTTTTTTTTTGAGACAGAGTTGCCCTCTTATTGCTGAGGCTGGAGTGCAATGGTGTGACCTCGGCTCACAGCAACCTCAGCCTCCTGGATTCAAGCAATTCTCTTGCCTCAGCCTCCCAAGTAGCTGGGATTACAGGCATGCACCACCGCGCCCAGCTAATTTTGTATTTTTCATACAGATGGGGTTTCTCCATGTTGGTCAGGCTGGTCTTGAATTCCTGACCTCAGGTGATCCACCCGCTTCAGCCTTCCAAAGTGCTGGGATTACAGGCATGAGTCACTGTACCTGGCCAAAGAATTTTTTTTTTTTTTAAATCAGAAAAAAAAAAACCCAAACAAAAAATTAGGCAGGTGCTGTGGTGCGTGCCTGTAGTTCTAGCTACTTGGGAGGTTGAGGAAGGAGGATCACTTGAGCCCTGGAGTTGGAGCCTGCAGTGAGCTCTGATTGTACCACTGCACTTTAACTTAAGCAACAGAGCAAGACCCGATCTCTATTAAAAAATAAAAAACCTGGCTGGGTGCAGCAGCTCACACCTGTAATCCCAGCACTTTGTGGGGCGGAGGCAGGCGGATCACAAGGTCAGGAGATCGAGGCCATTCTGGCCAACATGATGAAACTTCGTCTCTACTAAAAATACAAAAATTAGCCAGGCATGGGGGTGGGTGCCTGTAATCCCAGCTACTCAGGAGGCTGAGGCAGGAGAATTGCTTGAACCTGGGAGATGGAGGTTGCAGGGAGCAGAGATAGCGCCACTGTACTCCAGCCTTGTGACAGAGTGAGACTGTCTCAAAAAACAATCCAAAAACCAGAAACCAAAAAACTTATGCAGAATGACCACATGACCCAGCAATTGCACTTCATCTACACCCAGAAGAGTTGAAAGGACTGATACCTGCACAGTGATGTTTGAGCAGGATTATCCACAACAGCCGAAAGGTGAGAGGAAGAAAGCCCACGTCCACTGATGGACGAATGGAAAACAAAACGCAGATACCATGAATGAGTCTTAAGAGGGAAATTCTGATACATACTACTAGATCTTTGAAGCCTGATGCTAAGTGAAATGTCATAAAAGGACAAATATTGTATGATTCAGCTTATATGTATGGACTTAGAGTAGTCAAGAAAAGTAGAAAAATGGTTGCCAGAGGCTGGCTGGAGGGAGAATGGAGAGTCAGTGTTTATTTTTATTTTGTTGAGATGGAGTCTCCCTCTGTCCCCCAGGCTGGAGTGCAGTGGCATGATCTTGGCTCACTGCAACCCCACCTCCTGGGTTCAAGAGATTCTCCGGCCTCAGCCTCCTGAGTAGCTGGAATTACAGGGGTGTGCCACCATGCCTGGCTAATTTTTGTATTTTCAGTAGAGATGGGGTTTCACCATGTTGGCCTGGCTGGTCTTGAACTCCTGACTTCAAGTGATCCACCTGCTTTGGCCTCCCAAATCGGGATTACAGGTGTGAGCCATTGCACACGGCCGAGAGTCGGTGTTTAACAGTGCAGAGTTTCAGTTGGGAAGATGCAAACGTTCTGGAGATGGACGGCAGATCGTGATGGCTGCACGTGAACATGAACGTACATAATGGTACTGACATGCATACTTTCAATGATGCATTTTCTGTTACATTTTACCACCATAAAAAGACAAGAAAGTCAGGTGGGTAATGAAGCTAGTAAGGTCACATTTAAACACAAACAAGCGGCAGTGGGGTGTGACAGGGGAGATATTATTAATGTGACTTATATGCAAATGGCTAGGAAAGGACGTTTAACACATCAGGTAAGCTGTAGAAAATAGTCTGGAGGGCCGGGCGCCGTGGCTCACGCCTGCAATCCAAGCACTTTGGAGGCCAAGGTGGGCGGATCACCTGAGGTCGGGAGTTCAAGACCAGCCTCACCAACATGGTGAAACCCTGTCTTATTAAAAAAAAAAAAAGCTGGACACGGTGGCTCAAGCCTATAATCCCAGCACTTTGGGGAGGCTGAGGCGGGTGGATCATGAGGTCAAGAGATTGAGACCACCCTGGTCAACATGGTGAAACCCCGTCTCTACTAAAAATACAAAAAATTAGCCGGGCATGGTGGCGCGTGCCTGTAATCCCAGCTACTCAGGAGGCTGAGGCAGGAGAATTGCCTGAACCCAGGAGGTGGGTTGCAGTGAGCCAAGATCGCGCCATTGCACTCCAGCCTGTGTAACAAGAGCGAAACTCCGTATAAAAAAAAAAAAAAAAAAAAAAAAGAAAAGAAAATAGAGCCTGGAAATTAAATTGTAAATCATTTTAGTAATCAAACATTTGCAACAGTGACAAACAAATCCAAAGGACAAAACAAAGGCAGCAGCAACATCCAACAGGCATTTGGAAAAGGGCGGCCACAGAATGGCCAAGAAACATGAATTAAAGACAGAATTGGCCAGGTGCGGTGGCTCACGCCGTAATCCCAGCACTTCCGGAGACCGAGGTGGGCGGATCACCTGATGTCAGGAGTTCAAGACCAGCCTGGCCAAC